TCTCCTCCTCTTAGCCCTTATTATCACTTACTCAGCTTTTCTTCTGTCCTGGCCTGCTATCCATAATCTTGTTTATCTATCCCTTTCATATTTGTCTCCCTCTGGGCTCTATCTACACCTGTCCGCTAACCCCTCCTTTGATCCCTAAACCCCTACTTCATCTTTAGCATAAATTCCACTTTTTCAGAGCTGTTAACAGTTCTGATGAAGAGACACCAGATTCAAAACATTAACTCTCCTTTCTTCCCACAGATGCTGCCAGACCTGTTGAGGTTCATAAGCAATCTATTTTTGTTTTAGATTTCCAGCATCCACAGTTCTTTGTTTTATAACACTGTCTTTCAGTCATCTCTGAGCAATCTTGGTCTTCTGTTGCAACACTAACCTGTTTTGTTTCATAAAATGGCTATACCAACTAGCTATCAATCTGAAATCTTTGCTGGATTCAGAATTTGATTTGGCCCATGTGAGCATATTGCAGTTCTGGTGATGATGTAACCACTAACAATTTTCAAGGATCCATTCTAATAAATGTTTCTCAAGATCATATCAGTGGTGGATCCCTGGTATGATGGCACGTTTGGTCTTCCTTCTTCAGGGCAGAATCCACCATTTTTCCATGCTCGCATCAGTTTTTCATTAATACTGAATTTCTTTGGTGCACCATAGTTACAGAATGAGTTAGCAAATGTCACAACTTATAGCTTCGTATTTCAATCTTCTCCTACAGGATCCATTTCTTTTTACCACCCATCATGCCACTTGTGTTCTGTTCTGTATGGCTGTGTTTTAAATTCATGTCCTTCTTCATAACACAGCCCACACTGCCTAACTCTAATTGCCCAGAGGGCAGTTAAGAGTCAACCACATTTCTGTGGCCCTGGAGTCACATATAAGCCAGATCAGGTGAGGATGGCGGTTTCTTTCCTAAAGGTTTTTCCTGACAATCGGCAATGGTTTCATGGTCAACATTAGACTCTTAATTCCAGATTATTTTGCTTTTGAATTCAATTCGCTTTCTGCCAGGGCAAGATTCAAACACAGGTTCTCAGAACATTACCTGGATCTCTGGATTAATAGTCTAGCCATAATACCACTAGGCCATTATCTCCCCAATCTTACCAACAACTGAGGTCAGGTTAACTGGCCTATAATTTACCAACTTCTGCCTCACTTCCTTCTTAGTCAGGGAAGTTACATCAGCCATTTTCCAGTCCCCTGGGATCCTCCTGACTCCAGTGATTCCTGAAAGATCACCACCAATGCCTCTACAATCTCCTCAGCAATCTCCTTCAGAACTCTGGGGGGCAGTCCATCTAATCCAGGTGATTTATCCACTTTAGGCCAATCAGCTTCCCCTGCACTTTCTCCTTACAATCTATTCCACGTACCCAATTGTCTGTCAGAAAAGTAAATTCGGTTTTCTCTGCTCTTGCTTAATAAGTGAAATTCAGCAAACCATTTGTCACAGTTAACTCACCCTTCCACGGGAAATCTCTTGTCCTTTGAACAATTTATAGCCTTTCCTGCAGTGGCTTAATTTCAAATGTAGCACAGAATTAGCTTTCACTAATTTACAGGATGTCTCCTTAAGGACCACTCTTAATTCCTTTCTCATAACTCAACTGACTGATACTTAGAACTTGATCTGCTTTTGCACCTTTTGGTCCAGTGAGCAGCAACAATTCCAGTACTCAAACCGCAGCTGATCAAAGTATTGTACAGTTCCTTCAGATGACTCTGATTATTATTTAATTACCTTACATACAGATTGACATTGTGTTTGCTTTTGAACTTGCATCTGCACTAATTGGCATATGAAATAGTCTCCTCATCAATAATTTCTTTTAAGTCACTTGTCGGACATGGACGTAGAAGGTTAGGCAGCATTTATTGCTTGTGACTAGTTGCCTTTGAGAAGGTGGTGGTGAGCTTCCTTCTTGAACCGCTGCAGTCCATGTGCTGTCGGGTGAATCACAAGGCCCTTAAGAAGCGAATTCCAGGAGTTTGACCCTGTGACAGTGAATGAACAATGATATATTTCTAAGTCAGGATGGTGGGTGGTTTGGAGGGGAACTTGCACATGGTGAGGTTTGGAGCTACTTCCATCCAAACAAGTTGGGAGTATTCCATCACATTCCTGACTTGTGCCTTGTCGATGATGGACAGGTTTTGGGGAGTCAGGTGGTGAGTTAGTCACCACAGTATTCCTAGCCTCAGAACTGCTCCTGTAGGCATTGTGTTTATGTGGCAAGTTCAGTTGAATTTCTGGTCAATGATAACCCCAAATATTTGATAATGTGGGATTCAGTGATAGTAACACCATTGAATGTCAAGGGCTGGTTGTTAGATTGTCTCTTATTGGAGATGGCCATTACCTAGCATTTATGTGGCACAGATGTTACTTGCCATTTGTCAAGCCTAAGCTTCAATATTATTCAGATTTTGATGCATACGAACTTAGACTGCTTCAGTATGACGAGTCACGAATGATGTTGAACTTTGTTCAATCATCAGCGAACATCCCCACTTCTGACCTTATGATGGAGGAAAGGTCATTGATGAAGCAACTGAAGATGGTTGAGCGTAGGACACTACCCTGAGGAACTCCTGTAGAGATGTCATGGAGATGAGATGACTGACCTAGAACAGCCAAGACCATCTTCCTTTGTGCCAGGTATGACTCTAACCAGCAGAGAGTTTTCACATGGTGTTCATTGATTCCACTTTGGCATGGGGCTCCTTGATGCCACACTCCGCTGAATGCAGCCTTGATGTCAAGGGCTGTCACTCTCATCTCACCTCTGGAATTCAGCTCTCTTGTCCATGTTTGAACCAAGGCTTCAATGAAGTTAGGAGCTGAGTGGTCCGGGCAGATCCCAAACAGGGTGTCACTAAGCAGGTAGCAGGTTATTTCTGAGCAGGTGCTGCTTGATAGTGGATGACACCTTCCCTCACTTAACTGATGATCGACAGTAGACTAACGGGGCAGTAGTTGGCCGGGTTGGATTTGTCCTGCTTATTGTGACCTGGGCAATGTTCTACATTGTTGGGTAGATGTTATAACTGTACTGGAACTGTTCGGCTACAGGAACGCCAAGTTCTGGAGCACAAGTTTTCAGTACTATTGCCAGAATGTTGTATGCGCCCACAGCCTTTGGAATATCCAATGCCTCCAAACATTTCTTGATATCATGTGGAGTGAATCAAATTGGCTGGAGACTGGCATCTGTGATTCTGGGTACTACTGAACCAGGCTGAGAAGGATCATCCACTCAGCATTTCTGGCTGAAGATTGCTGTGAATGTTTCAGCCTTACTTTTTGCGCTGAAATGTTGGCTCTTCCATCACTAAAGATGGGGATATTTGTGGAGCGTCCTCCTCCAGTGAGTTGTTTAATCATCCACCACCACTCGCGACTGGATGTGGCAGAACTGCAGGGCTTAGATCGGATCCATTGGTTGCAGAATTGCTTAGCTGTGCCTATCTCTTGCTGCCTATACTGTTTAGCATGCAAGTGCTCCTGTCTGGTAGCTTCACCAGGTTGACACCTCACTTTTAGGTACTGCTCCTGGCATGTCCTTCTGCACTCTCCATGGAATCCAGGTTGAACCCCTGGCTTGGTGATAATGGAGTGGGGGATATGTCAGGCCATGAGGTTGCAGAGCGTGTTGGGTACAATTCTGCTGCTGTTGATAGCCCAGAGTGCTTCATGGATGTACAGTCTTGAGTTGCTACATCTCCTTGAAGTTTGTCCCATTTAGGATCGTGGTAGTGCCACACAACATAGTGGAGCGTATTCTCAATGTGAAGGCCAGACTTTGTCTCCACAAGGATTGTGCAGTGGTCACTCTTACTGATACCGTCATGGACAGCTGCATTTGCAGCTGACAGACTGGTGATGATCAGGTCAAGTATGTTTTTCCCTCTTGTTGCTTCCCTCACCACCTGCTGCAGACCCAATTCAGCAGCTATGTCCTTTAAGCCCAACCACCTCGATTAGTAGAGCTGTTACTGAGCCACTCTTGGTGGTGGACATTGAAATCAACCACCATGAGTACATTTTGCACCCTTGCCACCCTCAGTGTGACATCAGCAGGAGGTTTCCTTGACTATGTTTACCTGAAGCCATGGGACTTCATGGGGTTCAAAGTCTCCTAGGGCAACTCCCTCCTGTCTGTATACCACTGTGCCATCACCTCTACTAGGTCTATCCTGCTGCTGGACAGCACACATCCAGGAATGGTGATGGTGGTGTCTAGGACATTGCCTTTAAGCTATGATTCTGTGAGTATGATATCATTCTGTGAGTATGGCTATGTCAGGCTGTTGTTTGACTAGACATTGAGACTGTTCTCCCAATTTTAGCACCAACTGCCAGATGTTAGTAAGGGGAACTTTGTAGGGTCAACATGACTATTTCTGCCATTGTTATTTCCTGTACCTAGGTCAATGCCAGGTGATTTGTCCAGTATTAATTCTTCGTTGAGACTTCATTGTGATTGTTACAACTGAGTAGCTCGCTAAGCCAATTCAGAGGGCAGCTGAGAGTCAACCACATTGCTCTGGATCTGGAGTCACATGCAGGCTAGACCAGGTACGGATTCTTCCTTGAAGAACATTACAGAGCCAGCTAAAACTTGTATCATGCCCACATGAACTTCCTGCTCTACAATGCAAAAATCTGGTTTATATTTTGTGTTGAGGCGGTTCTCTTTGCATGATTCACTGGCCTGACTCCTGATCTACTTAAATCACAATTGTAACTTGAGTGTTGACACTATAGCGATTGTGTAACTTCCACAGTCGTAAGTACAAGAACAGGAAAAGGAATGAACTGCAAATGTCATTTAACCCAAGCACCTAGTTGGAGCCTTGCACTTATACAGACCTCTCACACAGCTTGGTTCCATAACACATCCTTAGCTAATACACAGTTCCTCTCCAATTAGGGCACTGAGCAAAGCAAACTACTTTAGAAACAAATATGTCAGTCTTACCTTATATATATCGTCCACACAACAGGTCAGCTCTGACTCTTCCACAATCACTGTGCCCACCTGTCTATAATCCTCCACCACTTCTGAAAGGAAGGAACAGAGTAGAGATTTGAGTTAAATACAGAGGCTGCTGGTCTATCCACAGTCGCACAGCAGACTAATGGAAGAATGTGACTGCAGCAAAAAGGTAGCCCAACATTTCCTGCTCAAAGATAACTACCATAGAAGCATAGAAATAATACAGCACAGAAGGGGTCCATCTGGCCCCATCTTGTCCATGCCGACCGAAAGACACCCAGATGTCCTTTCTAATCCCAACTTCCTGCACAAGCCCCATAACCTGTAGTTTACAGTAATTAAGGCACAGATTCAGGTACTTTTTAAAAAGAGTTTAGGGTCTCTGCCTCCACTATCAACCAAGGATAGGCAATACATGTTGGCCCATCCAGTGTCACCCACATCCCATGACAGAATAAAAACAGTGAAAGATGCATCATAAGGATGAACTATGAGCTTCCCATTGTTTAGCAACAAATAAGTCAGTATGAAATGAGCAGAAAACAGGGAGAAAGAATTAAGACTCTAGTCTAGGTTTACTTTTTCTGCGTAGGATCCCTGCCCCAATCTTACCCCCCTCGTCCCATCCCTCCTCCCCAATCCTGTCTTCTGTTTTCCACTTTCTCCTGCTCCATGTATAGAAAGGAGATAAAAATCAAAGGATAAAGGATTCAGTTGCAGTGAACTGATGAAATTCTTAATATTTAATTGCGGTTACTTGTTAAGCCTTGTCAATGGGTTCTTGGCAAAGGATGTGGTTGTGCTGACGGGCAGGTTAATGAAATCATACTGATGAAATTCACCCACAAGGAACTAAAAGTAATAAGCATTTCTCAACCATGTTATTAAAATAAATTAAACCCATGAGATTAGTAGTCTAGTAAAATTTGGCAAGTACACCACTGGCAGAGAAAGTGAACAGTCAATAACATAAAAGCAATTCATTAAAATCGCTGACTGACTCATGTTGAACAGTTTCATCTGGAACCATTTCACACCGGCTCACATTGCAAAGCCAAAGCAATGCTTTGTATTCCTTTGACTAAATCATTCCAGTCACTACACTAATGTCCCCAATTCCACTTACAAAAATATAAAGTTACTGCCCATTCCCAGAAAACCCACAATTTCTAAGCCCTTAACTGCTTTCTATCTTTTGTACAATCACAGACATGTGTGGAGGAGAAAATCTGCCAGCATTTACAATCAAGGTGAATATCAGTGACTGCTGCTACAAGAGTAAGTGCACATGTATAGTTTAAAGCCACAAATGGAGAATGGGAATTTCAGCAAAGTATCAGAGGTCAACTAGGTATCCCAATCAATACCTCAGCAAGCAACCATGCCTGCTGGAGGGAAAGAGAATCGAGTGAATATAAAATGACGCTGTTTTGTCTTTGAGTAAACTACTTAAAACAAAACACACCAGGAGCTATCTGTGGATGCACAAGGAAATATCAAACCAATCCCTAGTAAAGGAATGGATTTTTCACACCAGGAATCTCATACTCCTGAGTCCATCTCTCAAATTTATAAACATGTCTGGACTGGAGGATGAGCAGGAAGAAATCTCAATTTTGAGTCTTTTGCTGTTCAACTTCCCTGGATGTCAACAGCTAAGAGAACATGGAACATTCATCACAGCCAAACCTCAAAAGAAAGGGAGGGGAAAGACTGGGAGACACTGTCAAAGACATATTAAACCAATCCCAGGCTGATGAATGAAATTCTCTACTCCCCTCCAATGAGGTCAGAGCAGCTTCAAGCCACAATTTTACAAACATAAAGAAAGAATTTATGGGGGAGGGGGAGCTGATTTGTCAGTAAGGGCGATAATTGTCTGCTTTCTGCTAATCTACAGTTTAAGAGTTAACAGCACAAGTAAGCTTTTTTGTTTGGCTTAAAGTTTGGTTAAAGCCCACCAGTTCAACCAGATTTTTGAGCATCATCTGGAGGTATAGCAGTGCACCTGCAAGGCTGAGAATTATTCCAATAGCACATTTTTAGACATGGAGAGTCTGTAGTTTAAGGAAGTGTAGTCAGAGAAGGATAGTAGCCATCAGTCAGAAGAACACAGGCAGGCAGGTAGTCAAAAAAAGCACATCTCATTCAAGAGTAGCTTTTCTGGGGAGTGCAGCTAGAGTCCAAATGTACAAGGCAGGGAAGAGAAAACAAGAGCAATATGGGTCGAAGACTCAATTGGGAGGGGTACCTTCAGACGAGTCTGCAGGCACAGATGTGACTCCAGGATGGTGACTTGCCTGCCTGGGGCTATAGTCAATGATGGCACTGACCAGCTTCAAGGCATCCTGAAGGGGGAGGGCGAACAGCCAGATATCATGATACACACTGGTTCCAAAGACATAGGTAGAAAGAGGGGGAGCTAAGTGGTAGATTGAAAAGCAGGAGCTCAATGGTTATAATCTGTGGATTACTCCTGGTGCCACATGGTCATGACTATAGAAATAATTGGACAGAGCAGATGAATACACAGCTGAAAAATTGATGCAGGAGGGAGGGCTATAGATTCTTGGATCACTGGGTCTGTCCTGGGGAACATGGGACTTTTACAAGTCTGACGGGTTGCACCTGAACGGCAAGGGGACAAACATCCTTGCTGGTTAGTGCTTTTGTGGGGATTTAAACTAACTTGTCAGGAGGATGGGTTATACAGAGTGAAGGTGCAACAGGGGGCGGTGGACAGACAGGTGCAGGAGAAAAGCCATATCAGTCTGGCAGGTGGAGCATATATGGTCGAGCAATGGCACAAGGAATCATGGCAAGGTTATATGGTATTAATTTTAATACAAGGAGTCTTGTGAGTAAGGCAGATGATTTGGAGGAGGTGATTAACACCTGGGGGTGACATCATTGCAATCACAGAGACGTGGCTGAGGGAGGGGTAGTACTGGGGTAAAAACTCTTCAGGCGAGGCAGGAAAAGACTCAGATGAGGAGGAGTTTCTTCTCTCAGAGGGTTGAGTGTCTTTGGAACTCCTTGCCACGGCAAGTTATGGGGGCAGAGTCCGTATGTATATTTAAGGCTGAGACAGACAGATACTTGATCAGTCGGGAAATCAAAGGTTATGGGGAAAGAGCAAGAAAGTGGATGTGAGGAATGTTGGATCAGCTATGATCCTATTGAATGTTGGAACATGCTCAAGGGGCTTAACAACCTACTCCTGTTCCTATTCCTTATAGTATTATGGCTACGTTAAAGAGATGGTGGTGTTAGAATATTGATCGAGGAGTCAATTAATGAAATCAGGAAGCATGATATCAAAGAATGTTCTTCAACAGAGACCAAATGGGTAGAATGTAAAAACAAAAAGAGGGAAATCACATTGCTGGAAGTGTACGAAAATGCCCCACACAGGCAAAGAGAGATAAAATGACAGATATCTGGGCAAATCTTAGAGAAGTGTAAAAATAATAATAGAATTACAGGATCATCATGGCACAGAAGGAAACTATTCAGTCCATCATGCTGCACCAGTTCTATTACCTAGTGTCAATCTCCTGCCTGTTCCCCATATCTCTGCACACCACTCACAATAAGATAATATTAAAAGTGGATTTCAATTTCCCCAATATTTACAGGGATAGAAAAAATGTGAAAGGCTTAGAGGGGCCGAATTCTTAAAATGTATTCAAGCTTTTCGAAGTCCTACAAGACAGTGTGGGGCCTAATTTTAGGGAACAAAACCAGGCAAGTGATTGAAGTGTCAATGGGAGAGCATTTCAGTGATCGTGATCATAACTCTATAAACATAAAAACATAGAAGACAGGAGCAGGAGGAGGCCATTCAGCCCTTCTTCTGCTCTGCCATTTTTCAAAATCATGGCTGATTGTCCAACTCAATAGCCCAATCCTGCTTTCTCCCCATAATCTTTGATCCCATTTGTCCCAGGTGCTTAATCTAGTTGCCTCTTGAATACATTCAATGTTTTGGCATCAACTACTTTCTGTGGTAATGAATTCCACAGGCCCACCACTCCTTGGGTGAAAAAAATGTCTGTTCATCTCCTTCCCAAATCATCCACCCCGAATCCTTATACCGAGACTTCTGGTTCTTGACACACCCACCATCGGGAACATCCTCCCTGCATCTACCCTGTCCAGTCCTGTTAGAATTTTATAAGATTTGAAGCAGTGGTTTATGGGAAAGGACAAAGTAGGACAAGGACCAGGAACAAAGATTCTGAACTGGGGAAAGACAGACTTTTAGTACGATAAGTCAGGATCTGGCCAAAGTGGACAGGGTGAGAGGATGAAGAAATAAACCCAGGGAACCCTGGATGTGAAGGGATGTATAGGGTTGGTTAGGAAAACAAAAGAAATTTACAGTAGACGTCAAAGGCTAAAAACAGAAGTTCTGAGGAAGGGTCACCGGATCCGAAACATTAACTCTGTTTTTTCCTTCACAGATGCTGCCAGATCTGTTGAGCTTGTCCAGCAACTTTGTTTTTGTTCCTGATTTACAGCATCCGCAGTTCTTTCGGTTTTTAATTAGAGAAAGTGCAGAGTTTTACATAAGAAAAAAATTGACAGTGAAGAGGGGACATGAGAAAACACTGTCGGGTAAAAATAAAGGGAAATCCAAATTTTATAAGTACTATAAAATATAAGTATATAATGAGGATAAAATAGCAAGAGGATAACCAGAAAAATAGGAGGACCCAGTAAGGACCAAAGTGGAGATGTGTGTGTGGAACTAGAAGATGTAGGTATGGTTCTGTTTGAGAACTTTGCATTTGTATTCACTACAGAGGATGATGTAGGTTCAGAAATCAAAGAAGGAGACTGTGACATACTGGAAACAAATCAACATTAAGATGGAGGAGATATTAGCGGTTTTAGCCGGCTTAAAATTGGGTAAACCTCCAGGGTCAGATGAGGTGTACTCCAAGTTAACTTCGGAGGCAAGGGAGGATATTGTGGGGGTTCCGACATTCATTTCCAAATGCTCTCTGGCCAATGGACTGGAAGATACATAATACGGTACAGCCATTCAAGAAGGTTGGTACAGATAAACCAGGGAACTATACGCTTGTGAGTCTAACAACAGTGGTGGGGAAACTTGGAAAACATTGAGCAACAGAATTAACCTCCACTTAGAGAGACCAAGATTAATTGAGGATAATTTTGTTGGGGGGAGATCTTGTCTAACAAATTTGATTTAATTTTGAGATGATGACTAGCTTTGTAGATGAGAAGAGTGCAGTCATGGAGTTTGCATGGACTTTAATAAGGCATTTGACAATGGATCCATGGGATGCAGGGTAATTTGGCAAATTGTATCCAAAACTGGCTTAGTGGCAGGAAACAGAGGGTGCTAGTTGAAGGTTGCTTTTGTGACTGAAAGTCTGTGTCCAGTGGCATACTGCAAGCTTTGATGCTGGATTTCTTGCTGTTTGCAGTGTATATTAATAACCTAGCCACAAATGTAAGAAGCTTGAACAGTAAGTTTGCAGGTGACACAAAAATGGTGGTGTGGTAATCAGTGAGGAGGAAAGCCTTAGGGCGCAAGACAATTCAGACAGGCAGATTAGCTGAATAACAGCAAATGGAATTTCATCTGGAAAAGTGAGAGGTAATGCATTTGGGAGGGCTAATAGGGCATGGGAGTGCATGATGAATGCCAGGACCCTGGAAGGTACAGAGAATCAGAGGGACCTTGGTGTGCATATCCATAGATCCTTGAAGGCAGTACGATGGGTAAATAAGGTGGTTAAAGGAGGCATATGGGATACTTGCATTTATTAGTCATGGCATCGAATACAAGAGCAGGCAGTTTATGAAAGAGCTGTATATCACATTAGTTTGGCCACAGCTGGAGTACTGTGTGCAGTTCTGGTCATCACACTATAAGAAGGATGTGATTGCACCGGAGAGGACAGAGAGGAAATTCACAAGGATCTCACTCGGGCTGGAGTGTTTCAGCTATGAAGAGACGGTAGATAGACTGAAGTGTTTTTGTTAGAGCAAAGAAGGCTGAGGGGGAACCTGATTGAGGTGTTGAAAATTATGAGGGGCACACATAGATAGGAAGAAACCTTTCCCCATAGTGGAAGAATTGATAACCAGGAGGCATAGATTTAAGGCAAAAAGGAAATTTGTTTTCACACAGAGGGTGGTGGATTTCTGGAACTCACTGTCTGAAAGGATTGTAGAGACAAAACTATCAGTAGTTGGATGAATACTTTGCTGGGAAATAGGTGAAGGTAGATAGGTGCTTGATATGTCCTCTTTCAGTGCCATAATCCTCTGTGACACTCACTTGGGGATCTTAAGTCAATAACATACACCTCACATTAATTTTGTACCCATTCAGAGAGACTACAAGCATAGTTAATGTGGTAGCATGGAAACATCACACTTGTGCACAAGACAAATCATTGCAGGGGGTATGAATGTGAATAGAGTTTGCTGGAAACATTCAACATGTTAGACAGTATCAGACACCAGTTTGATGAAAAGTCATTGATTTGATACTTAATTATATTTCTCTCTCAACAGATACTGCCTGACATGCTGGTTGCTGAGTGTTAGATGTTGGTTAGAGTCAATTATAATTCAAATATTAAGTTCACTACACACTTGTTTAATTTCACATTGCTGCAAATCGGTGTTCAATGAACAACTCCAACACCCTTTACATTGAGTCCATAGCACAGAAACAGGCCATTTTTAACAAGTGGTCTGTACAAATGTTTATACCTAGTCTTATTGCAAATTTATAGAACATTGCTTAAGTCACAGATGGAATACTGTGTGCTGTTCTGAACAAATAAACAAATGAAAAAGTACAGCACAGGAACAGGCCTTTCGGCCCTCCAAGCCTGTGCCGGCCATCATGCCCTAATTAATCTAAACACAAACCTGCTATTTTTCGATTCGTATCTCTCTATTCCTTCCCTATTCATGTACCCATCTAGGTGCCTCTTCAATGTCTTCAATGTGCCCGCTTCCACCACCTCTTCTGATAGTGCATTCCAGCCTGCTGCTACTCTCTGTGCGGAAAAACTTCCCTCGCACATCTCCCTTAAACCTTCCCCCTCTCACCTTGAACCTGTGTCCCCTTGCAATTGAAACTTCAACCTTGGGAAAAAGCTTCTGACTATCCACCCTATCTATGCCTCTCATAATTTTGTAGACCTCTATCAGGTCTCCTCTCAGCTGCCATCATTCCAGTGAAAACAATCCTAGTCTTTCCTCATGGTCAATGTCCTAGAGACCAGCCAACATCCTGGTGAACCTTCTCTGTACTCTCTTCAAAGCTTCCACATCCTTCTGGTAGTGTGGTCACCAAAACTGCACACAATACTCCAAACGCGGCCTAACAAGGCTCTTATACTGATGCAACATGTTTTGCCAACTCTTGTACTCCACGCCGCGGCCGATGAAGGCAAGCATGCCATGTGCCTTCTTAATCACTTTGGCTACCTGTGTTGTCACTTTCAGGGAACTGTGGACCTGCAGGCCCAGATCCGTCTGAATGTTAATGTTCCTAAGGGATCTGCCATTTACAATATAATTCACACCTAAATTTGATCCTCCAAAATGCATCACTTCACACTTGTCTGGATTAAACTCCATCTGCCATTTCTGTGCCGAAGTCACCAATCTATCTATATCCTATTGGATACTTTCACAATTGCTGGCACTATCAGCAACTCCATCAATCTTCGTGTCATCAGCAAACTTGCTTATCAGACCACCCACATTTTCCTCTAGATCATTTATATATACTACAAGCAACAAAGGTCCTAAGACTGACCCCTGTGGAACACCACTAGTCACCAGAATTCATTCTGAAAAACATCCTTCCACCACTACCCTCTATCTTCTCTGACCAAGCCAGTTTTGTATCCATTTGGCCAGGCCACCCCAAACCCCTTGTGGTTTTAGTTTTTGTACCATCCTGCCTTGTGGGACTTTATCAAATGCCTTACTAAAGTCCATATAAATTACATCCACAGCCTTCCCTCATCAATTACCTCTTCAAATAATTCAATCAGGTTGGTGAGACTTAACCTTCCCCAGACAAAATCATGCTGCCTGTCACTAACTAGTCCATTTTCCTCCAAATGCGCATATATCTTGTCTCTCAGTATCTTCTGGTCGCCACACTATTGAGAGAACATGATTGTACTGGAGAGGGTGCAGAGGAGAATCACCAGGATGTTGCCTGGGATGAAAAGTCTCAATAATGAGGAGAAACTGGATAGACTGGGTTTATATTCCCTGAAGCAGAGGAGGCTAAAGGAGATCTGATTGAGTTATACAAAATCCTGAGAGGCTTAGACAGGGTAGATTGTTGGAATCTTTTCCCCATGGCAAATGTGTCTAAGACCAGACAGCAAGGTTCAGGTGAGGAGGAAAAATTTTGGAACCTAAAGAGTGGTAGAAATGTGGAACGTGTCACCTAAGAGGGTGGTGGAGGCAAGTACTCTCACAATATTTAAGAAGCATCCAGATGAATACTTAAAATGCCGGTGCACAGTAGGCTATGGACCTACAGCAGGTATATGAGATTAGTGTAGTTTGCTATTTGTTGGTCAGCATAGGCACGGTGAGCCAAGGGACCTGTTTCTATGCTGTATGACTCGAGATGACAGCTGAGACAGGAGTCACTGAAGCAAGTAGGCAGGGAGCTGATAGGTTTGTAATAGTGGAAGGAGGTTACACTCTATGGATGTGGTTCAGGACAAAAATCAAATCAGCTGGTGTAGATTTCATTTTTGTACTTAAGAAGAAAGGAATACAGGGGTTCTTGTGGCACAATGGTAGTGTCCCTACCTCTGAGCTTGGAGACTGGGTTAAAGTCCCACCTGCTTTAGAGGTGTGTAGAACTGTCTCTGAACAGGTTGCTTCAAAAATAACTAGAGAACAAGGAATGATTAAAGGGCTGATCTGTTACCATTCATGATGCAAATGTGAGACATTTGTTCAATGTTGTCAGCGGGCACACAACATTTACCTCACTGGAGGTAGAAATCTGTCTACGGTCCAATTAGGAAATTACAAAGACAGAGCAGTTAACAGACAGCACAATGTCATGTACGCACCCCACTCCACTGTAACTTACTTCTTTTACCCCATATTATACCACTAACATTTTTGCAATATTCTATATAAACAAACTAACACTCGGACATTAGAATGATTTTGGAACTTTTAACTGTGTGGTCTGTAGGGATTGTGTTTTAATTTATAACAGGTTAAGTCCCAAGAAATGATGCATTTTTTGAGTTAATATTAACCAAGTCATTGTAAAGTTATACTTGAAGAATTAATTATTAACCTATTGCATGCAATTGGAGTTTTAAGGTAGTGGTAATGTTAGATTTAATTTTAAGCTTTTCCTGTCATTGTGATGAAATGGTTTCATTCACTTAGTCAAACATACTAGAAACTTAGTCAAACATACGTACATGTTCTATGAATTGCTGCCTTAAAAATGGGAGGTGAGGTAGGCAGAGGGGAGAAAGACTTTGAGCACTTTTACAACTGTGATTGTCGATTCTGAAGGTTAAATTCTTATGAAAAGATGAAAGGATTCTCTTATTCTAACTCCCACTCTCACTCACCACAACCTTTATCTCCCTAGCTTTCAGCCAATGCTCACGGTTCAAACGGGCACCAGTAATTCAGCTAACGGATCACCTTCAAATGCGTGGTGTTTGTCTATCTCTGTACCTTTGACATCCAAGCAGCAGATCAGAGGAGCAAGTAGAGGCTTCAGGAGGTACTTATCAGCAAGTTCAGGTTGTTCCTTTACCATCGAGAGGAAAGTCATCGTTGCCACTCTCTGAAATTGACGAGCTGTCAGTTTGTCCTTGATATGAAACAGTTCAAGAACCTAGCATGAAGCAGAAACAGGGAAGTGTCAAAAATAACATCAAACTAACTGAAACAAAAACAGAAGTTGCCAGAAAAATTTCGCGGATCTGGCAGCATCTGTGAAGACTAATCAGAGTTAACGTTTCGGGTCCAGTGACCCTTCCTCGGATGAACAGCATCTGCAGTTCTTTTGAATTTTATCAAACTAACTGGCTGACTGCCTTTAGGATTCTAGAGAGATTAGATAATGTTGGCTACAACAAGCAGTTTCACCCTGTGTACAACAGAGAATATGAGAACAGACATTATGCTAAAAGGAGAGAAATATATTAACATAATGAACGGTCACTCATTTCACAGGCGCTGAAACTGTGTCCAGAACCAGAAAATGCCACTTCCAGGATGTGGTTATGTGGTGGTTATGTTACTGGGTACAAAGAACATGAGGAACATTTAAGAAAACATGTTCAAACCCCACCGTGGATCATTTGACAATTGAAATTTCCTAAAGAACAATTGGGAAATAAAAAAAAGACCCGTGTCCGTATAAATGACCACAAAGCTGCTGAATTGCTACAAAAACCCAACTGGCTGACTAATGTCCTTCCAGGACAGAAACTTTCTGTCCTTACACATTCTGGGTCTACATGTGATTCCAGGCCTACACCAATGCATTTAATTCTTAACTATCCTTTGAAACTTGTCTTGCAAGTCATCTAATGAATCATACCACTGAGAAAAAAAATAAGAGAAAGGACAGGACAGGCCACACAGCAGTATCTCAGACATTAAAACAAAACACAACAAAGGTACACCCAGAGATAGTAGGAACTGCAGATGCTGGAGAATCTGAGATAACAAGGTGTAGAGCTGGATGAACACAGCAGGCCAAGCAGCATCAGAGGAGCAGGATGGCTGACGTTTCTGGCCTAGACCCTTCTTCAGAAATGGGGGAGGAAAGGGGGTTCTGAAATAAATAGGGAGAGAGGGGGAGACAGATAGAAGATGGATAGAGGAGAAGATAGGTGGAGAGAAGGCAGACAGGTCAAAGAGGCGGGACGGAGCCAGTAAAGGTGAGTGTAAAGGGGAGGCAGGGAGGAGATAGGCCAGTCCAGGGAGGATGGACAGGTCAAGGGGGCGGGATGAGGTTAATAATTCCACACTTCCGCCATCTGCAATCCGACCCTACCACCAAAGACATTTTTCCCTCCCCACCCTTATCTGCTTTCTGGAGGGACCACTCTCTCCGTGACTCCCTTGTCTGCTCCACACTCCCCTCCAGTCCAACCACACCGGGCACTTTTCCCTGCAACCGCAGGAAGTGCTACACCTGCCCCTACAACTCCACCCTCACCCTCATCCCAGGCCCCAAGAAGACTTTCCACATCAAGCAGATGTTCACCTGCACATCTGCTAATATGGTATACTGCATCCGCTGTTCCCGTTGTGGCCTCCTCTACATTGGGGAAACCAAGCGGAGGCTTGGGGACCACTTTGCGGAACACCTACGCTCGGTTCGCACTAAACAACTGCACCTCCCAGTCGCGAACCATTTCAATTCCCCCTCCCATTCCTCAGATGGCATGTCCATCCTGGGTCTCCTGCAGTGCCACAACGATGCTACCCGAAAGTTGCAGGAACAGCAACTCATATTCCGCTTGGGAACCCTGCAGCCCAATGGTATCAATATGGACTTCACAAGCTTCAAAATCTCCCCTCCCCCTACCGCATCCCAAAATCAGCCCAGCTCGTCCCTGCCTCCCTAACCTGTCCTTCCTCCCACCTATCCCCTCCTCCCACCTCAAGCCCCGCCCCCATCTCCTACCTACTAACCTCATCCCGCCCCCTTGACCAGTCCGTCCTCCCTAGACTGACCTATCCCCTCCCTAACTCCCCACCTACACTCACCTTTACTGGCTCCATCCCCGCCTCTTTGACCTGTCTGTTTCCTCTCCACCTATCTTCTCCGCTATCCGTCTTCTATCCGCCTCCCCCTCGCTCCCTATTTATTTCAGAACCCCCTTCCCCTCCCCCATTTCTGAAGAAGGGTCTAGGCCCGAAACGTCAGCCTTCCTGCTCCTCTGATGCTGCTTGGCCTGCTGTGTTCATCCAGCTCTACACTTTGTTATCAAAGGTACACCCAGCCCCATCAGTACTGAAAAACTCCTTCAAAACATCTCGGACTGGTAGCCTGGAAGTGAATCAAGGTGTGAATGTTGCTCATCAACGCACCAAGTGCAAGTGACTCACCAAAACAGACAGTCCACATTGTCACACAGACTGATCATGGAATATTCCCATTAAACTGAAGTTAGGAAAGCAATAATGAAGGACAAGCTCTGACACCAACACATCATTTAACAGTTTCAATAGCAATTTATTTCACTCTAAACACAAAGTGTAAAAGTTAACACAGGAACAAAAACAAAGTTGCTGGGAAAGCTCAGCAGGTCTGGCAGCATCTATGAAGGGAAAAAAACAGTTAACGTTTTGGGTCCAGTGACCCTTCCTCAGAACTGATGGTAGCTGGGAAAATGTCAGTTTATATGCAGAAAAAAGGGAAGGGCATGGGGTAGGGAGTAAACGATAGGATAGAGCATAAAGAGAGAGAAGAGCAGTTGGACAGACAAAGGAGTTGCTAACGATCAGGCTGGGAGGGTGAATAGTTGTTAATGAGGACTATTAGTGATTAACAACAGGTGGTGTGTAATGGCAGGCTTTGTGGTATTTGGGCCTGGTGTGTGGGGTAGGGGGCTGGGACATGGGAGAATTTAGGCCCTAAAATTATTGAACTCAAAATTGAGTCTGGCGGGCTGCAGGGTCCCCAAGCGGAACATGAGGTGTTGTTCATCCAGTTGAGCTTCGCTGGAACACTGCAGCAAGCCAGAGACAGAGATGTTGGCCAGGGACCAGGATGGTGTGTTAATTGTGAGCAGAACAAAGATGTTCTGTGAAGCGGTCACCCAGTCTACGCTTCGTTTCCCCAGTGTAGAGGAGACCACATTGTGAGCAGTGAATACAGTAGATTAGATTCTGGGAAGTGCAGGTGCAGTGTTGCTTCACAGGGCCCTTGGATACTGGGGAGGGAAGGGGTACATGGGCAGGTGTGGCATCTTCGCTGGTTACCGGAGAGTGAGTGAGTGAGTGTGTGTGTGTGTGTGTGTTGGGGGTGAAGGAGTGTGGACCAGGGTGTCTTGGAGGGAATGGTCCCTGCAGAAGGTGGACAAGGGAGGGGAATATGTGTCTCGTGGTGGCATCTTGCTGGAGGTGTTGGAAATGGCGTCTGATGATCTTCTGGATGCGGGAGGGAAGAGAAGCGGTGAGGGCGGAAGTGCGGGAGATGGGGCTAACCTGGTTGAGGTTCCTGTTGATAACAGAGCTGGGGAATCCTCGGCTGAGGAAGAAGGTGGACATTTCAGAGGCTCCCTTGTCGAAGTTGGCCTCATCCGAGTATATACGATGGAGATGGAGGGACTGAGAGAATGGGATGGAGTCTTTATAGGAAGTGATGTGTGAGGATGTATAGTTCAGGTAGCTGTGGGAGTCAGTGGGTTTGTAGTGGCTATAACTGGCCAGTCTATCCTCAGAAATGGAAACAGAAATGTCAAGGAAGGGAAAGGAAGACTCAGAGATAGACCAGGTGAAAGTGAGGGCAGGGTGGAAATTGGAGGCAAAATTGACTAACTTTTCCAATTCCAGACAAGAGAGGGAAGCAGCACCGATGATATCATCAATGTATTGCAGAAAGAGTTGTGGGTGGGGGCCTGAATAGGACAGGAACAAGGAATGTTGCACGTATCCCATTAAGAGACAGGTATAACCGGGGCCCACGTGGGTACCCATGGCCACCTCTCTTACCTGAAGAGAACGAGGAGTTAAAAGAGAAGTTGTTCAAGGTGAGGACAAGCTTGGCCAAGTTGAGGAGCGTGTTGGTGGGTGGGGATGGTTCAGGTCTTTGCTCCAGGATGAAGCAGAGAGCCCTAAGTCCCTCCTAGTGGGGAATGGACGTGTAAAAATTAACTCTGTCCTTCTTTAAAGTGACAGCCTGGCCTGCAGAGTGGTTCCAGAATTTTCTATTTTTAGTTCAAATTTCAAGCATCTGCAATATTTTGCCAGTCTTAATTTCAAGATTTCAGTAAGTTGTTAACATGTATCCTAATTCTTTTCTATCTAGAGTTGAATGTTCTCTCCATAACCACCTACGTGAGGACTCAACACTTGTGGGTGAAACAGAACTTTCAGAATGAAAGGAATGAGAAGGAGCAGACAGCAAATATTGTTCTATATAATGCATGTGTCAGGACCTTGCTGTCCCCAAACCCTGGGAACATACTAACCGACATTTATGTTTGGAAACTTTGTGCAGGCAATACTCCATGAGTATGAATGATATTCTCAATGACATACTTCATGGAACAGTCTGATCCTGTCTCTTACCATATGCCAGAAATTGAACTTTCTCATATTCTAAATACGAACAGTAAACACCCAGCCTCCTCCCTCCCCTACCCTCCTCAACACACCTTCGGAAATGGAAGGAGATCTTTTATCATTGCTGTCTGGTACAGATTTAGAGTCACAGAGTCCTACATCATGGAGACAGGCTCTTCAGTCCAAACTGGTCCACACTATCCAAAACGTCCATCCACATTAACCCCAATTCCCTGCACTTGGCCCATATCCTTCTAAACCTTTCCTATCCATGTATTCTTCCAAATGCCCTTTAAACGTTGTTAATGTACCTGCCTCAACCACTTCCGCTGGCAGCTCATTCCATATGTGTACCACCCTCCGTGTAAAAAAAATTGCTCCTCAGGTTCCATGTATTCTTTCCTCTCTTACCTTAAAATGATGTCCTCTGGTCATCGATTCCCCAACACTGGGAAAAAGACTGAGTGGACTTAACCTATCCATGCCTTTCATGATCTTCTACACTTCTATGAGATTCTTAATGAGTACTTTGCGTTGGTATTCACCGAGGAGAGGGACATGACGGATGTTGAGGTTAGGGATAGAGGT